CAGACTGCTGTTAGGGGCAATTAGGCAGGGCAGGCAGGTGAGTGGTTAGGAGCCAGCAGTCCCAGAATTTGAGAGGGATGTCCGACTGCCAGTTTAGGCCCTATCCTGTAAACCAGCAGTAGGACATCCTTCCAGGGGTCCCAGATTGGAGAGGGTGCAGGCCGGGCTGAGGGACACTCCCCCCCCAGCCCCCGAGTGCACAAATTTTTGTGCACCGGGCCACTAGTTTATTATAATGTATTATGTACTTAAATAATTGCTATACGTTTATACGACTGGCAATACAGGAGGTTAACACCATCATCACCACAAACACATGAATAACGTGTTGCATTATGGTACGAATGCTACATAATCACTAGCTGATGGGAAATTTCAGTTCCATTACAATCTTAGGGGCTCACCATAGAATATGTAGTTCATCATTGACCAAAAAAATCATTATGTGGCACATGACTTTGTAAAAATCAATTGTACTTCTGTATGTTAGCAACAAAAACTTGAAAAAGAAAGTTAGAAAAACAATAGTACCAAACATTGCAATGCCTACCAATATTTTTTTTTAATTAGCAACATCTCTACTTTGAAACTATAAAATAACATCAAAAGAAACTAAGATCTAAATAAATGGAAAGATATATCATTTGTTGAAGCGTATATAATAGCCAAAATGATCTAGAAACTCTGGAGCAAAATTAGAAGACTTACAGCACTTGCGTAAGTTTTCAACCAAGATAACTGGGTATCCATACAGGAAAAAAAAATTCCCTTTACCCCTAGCTGACACTATACAAATGACAGAGATGGATCATAAAACAAGCATAGCATAAAACTTGTAGCTTCCTGCCCTGCACGGTGTCGCTCAGTTGGTTGGTGCGTCCTCCCGTGCACTGAAGGGTTGTAGGCTCGATTCTGGTAATGGAACATACCTAGGTTGCAGGTTCAATCCCAAGTCAGGGCATATACAGGAGGCAACAGATCCATGTTTTTCTCTCACACTGATGTTTCTCTCTCTTTAAAATCAATAAAAACATATCCTTGGGTGAGGATTTAAAAACAAGAACAAACTTGTACCTTCCTAAAGAGATATCATTTAAAACCCACTGTAATGGCTAAAATTAAAGACTGATAACACCAAATATTGGCAAAGATATGAAGCAACTGCAGTTCACATAATTTGCTAGTAGGAGTGCAAAAATGATACAGTCACTTTGGAAAGGTGTTTGGCAATTTCTCATAACATTAACTATACACATATACTTTAACCTAGCAATTCCATCATAGATATAAATCCAAGAGAAACAAAAACATATGTCCATTAAATAACTTGACAAGACTATCCACAGCAGCTTTATTCATAATAGTTCAAAACAGGAAACAACCCAAATGTCTATCAAGAAAAAAAAAAGTGGTATATTCATATGGAATTCCACTCAGCAATAAAACATAAATGATTGATATAGTGAATGAATCTTAGTTATTTGCTGAATGAAAGAATATTTTATGAGTCCATTTATATAAGGTTCTAGAACAAGTGAAACCTACCTACAGTGATAAATAGAATAGTGCCGCAAGAAGTCAAAGTGGGGTAGGCAAAGACTGATTTAAAAGAGGGACTTCCTGGAGAAACCAAGATGGCGGCATAGGTAAACACCGGAAATTGCTGCCTCCTACAACAAATTCAAAAATACAACTAAAAGACAAAACGAACATCATCCAGAACCACAGGAAGGCTGGCTGAGTGGAAATTCTACAACTAGAAGGAAAGAGAAAAGCACACTGAGACTCAGAGGAGGTGCGGAAGTGCAGAGGTACGGAGGCGCACACGGCAAGGACTGGCAACTGAGGACACGGTTGTCTTTTTGAATCCGGAGGGAGTCACAAGCCCCGACTGCTCTGAACTCCAGTTTCGGGTGAGTCTCTGGGGACCTGGACTCATATGGGGAGAAACTGGACTGTCTGGCAGCGGGCAGAACTCGGAACTCGAGGGCAGCTTTCTCTCAAAGGTGCTTGCAGCGATTACCCGAACACTGAGACGCGGGGCCCCTTAGGGCAGGGCTGAGGATCAGCCATAGCTGCTTGCTCCGCCCTGTTGATTCCCTGAGACCTCGCCCCACCCAAGCTGCAGCAGAGGCTTTTGCAGATGAATGCCCTGGCCCTTTGCAATCTGAAAATTACCTAACAAACTGCAGCTGGGCCAGACAGACGCAGAACTTCCGAGAGAAGGCCCAAGGCCCCACAGCAGCTTGCATTGCTTCACAGCTGGGCCTCAACTGGGCACCTCCAAACCCCAAACAAGGAAGGGGAATCTGCAGATCTCTTCGTAGCTCCTGCTGGGTAGCCTCAGGCAGAGGCTAAATTACACCTCCTTAGATCCAAGAGCCAGTGTACCCAGTGGTCAGAGTGGGACCATCCAAATACAACTCCTCAGATCCATAAGGGACACACTCAGGGGGCAGACTCAGTGAGCACCAAAGCCCCACTGAAGCAAGTCTTGCCTCATAAGGGTGTCTTCAGCACATAAGTTCTCCCACCGTAGACACAGCTGATTCTCATAGCCAATTGGCCTGGAGGTCAATTCCTCCCGGTGATACCCACAACAATCAAGTCTTAACTACAACAAGACTGTGCACAAAGCCCACAAAGGGGTGCACCAAGAGTGCCCACCTCAGGTAATTGGGAAGGCTGAGCCACTGG